TCTTGGATGCGCACTACACCAGCCTTCCAACTTGGATGGTTCTAAGTTCCATGTATATGATAACATATGAGGAGAAGGTGATTGTGTTAGTAACTGGTGGTGTTCGTGGATATTCTAGCATAGCTTGCAGTTCCATGGTCCTTTTTCTTTTCTATAAATTTATCCTTGGCTCACCATCCAAAAACAAGAACTGTTCAGTATGCTTCACCAACAAGGAATGAATCTGCCCCAGGCCTTGGTGCAGAAGGGCGAGTCGTCAGGCAAAGCTGTTGCGGCTCTTCGCTAGTCCTTTTCTCTATCCTCCAGCGACTACATCTGTCAACGAGGCACGATAACAGCTCTTCTTCATGACTCCAGTGGGCTATCCATGAGTCGTCCCCCTTCCAAGACCCCCATAACTACATGTACATGTATATCCGTAGAGCCAAAGCCACCTTCCAGGCAGCTCTTTCAGGAGACATGTGCTGCTGCTCAGCCTGGTATGATGGTATCCCAGATCCCGCTGCCCATTGATGGTGTGCTACAACCTCTCCATCCGATGGCCTTCACAGCTTTAAGGTCCAGTGCTTTTGCTTCAGCTTGACAGATATAGTCGCTGGAGGATAGAGAAAAGGACGAGTGAAGAGCTGCATCAGCTTTGCCTGACGACTCACCCTTCTGCACCTACATGTAGGGCAGATTCATTCCTTGTTTGTGAAGCATACTGAACAGTTCTTATTTCGTACGTCTGTGTGCCAGTGTCAAGCTCTGCTCCTGGTGACCACATAGCAATTCCCCACTGATAAGTAACTGCGATACTACCTCTACATACAATGTAATAATGATACCAAATACATGTACAATGTATATTGTACATGTACAAATCACACCAGTATTAAATAATTCACTTTCGATGACATTTATAATATTTTGAAGGCAGTTTTGGGAACTTCTATCTTCACTTATGACTTTGACAGCCATTTATTATCTATTTGACCCATATTGCATGTCTCTTGAGCTAAAAAGAGGCAATTTACATGTACATGTACGTTGCTATGGTAACCATGGCAATTTTAGTAAATAGGCCATAACTCTTGAAAGGACAACTTTGGCACATTCTGGTTTTCAGGGATCAGTTACTGGTTGTTATGCCATTCCAAATCCGTCAAAAAATCCTTCCTGGACAAGGTGTCACACTAACTCCTTATTCCTTGGACTTTTGCTGACTTGGCTCCTAGACTAATACGGTATCTCTATCCGGACGAAGCGAGTGATCTATAATGCCTGCGTGTTGTCCGTCCTCCTCTATGGCTCTGAATCCTGGCCTGTGCTGCGCCGCGATGAAGATCTTCTTGGACCGTTTCCACCGCCAATGCATCCGTGCTATCCTTGGCGTATCGCGCATGAACCAGGAAACGGACCACATCACCAACAGCGACCTGCGTGTGCGCTGGGGTAATAGTGATTTGCTTTCTCACATCCTGCATCGCCGGCGAATGCAGTGGCTTGGCCATGTTGCCCGCATGCCGGATGACCGCCTTCCGAAGCAGCTTCTGTTTGGTTGGCTGCCGCAGACTAGGCCAGCACATGGACCACGTCTCAGGTGGAGGGACCGCGTTCGCTCGGATCTTACTCTACTCCATGTACCAGAGTTGTACAAGTCCGCACAAGAGCGACAAGAGTGGCGCAGCATCTATCTGCCCAGTGTGGACCGTCCTGTACCGGAGCCGGCTGCTCACTGTAACACCTGCAACAGAACATTCACCAAACAGTCGGGTCTTACACGGCACAAGTGCCTTGCTGAGCGTCGGCTTCCGGTTGAGCTTCAGCGTGGTGCACGGCATTGCAGCACCTGCCGGCGGTGGTTTAAAAGTGCGGGGGGGGGCGGCTGTTCACCGTTGTCAGCCATCACCATCTACAACAGTGGAGCCAACCGCTACTGCTCACGCCTCATCGCCTCCAGCCCAAGCATCTCTGCCAGGGGAGCCAACAGCTACTGCTCACGCCTCATCGCCTCCGGCTCAAGCATCTCTGCCCTCGGCGTCCCACCCCGGTACGCTGTCTCGACTGAGCGCTGCTGCGGTCATCACTGCAGTGTCTGTGGCCGCTGCTGCAAGTCGGCTTCAGGCTTCAGCCGCCACAACTGTCGGAGAGGCGGGTGCAGGCCTGAAATGGAACTGTACCTGTAACTATCACACCTAACTGTGCATGTGTGTCGACCTTCATGCAATATCTTGTTCTCTTGTCATGATGAATGTAACACTGTTGTTCCAGCTAGTTCCGCTAGTGTTGTCCGTGCTAGCGCTTTGTTCTCCTGGCGCCCGCGGCCCGATCATGTATCAAGGCAGCGCAGTACATGCATGCAGTGATTGTGGTGTCGCGCGTGTGGAGCTGGTGCGTGACACGTGCTGGTCATTTTGATACTCCGCCATATTTTCTCCTTTGGACTTGGTCCTTCGTTTGGGACCGGGTCTTCCTTCTTCTTTCTTCTTGGCACTCGACTTTAGTTTTAGTTTTGTTGCTCTCCCAAAATACAATGTGAACCATTACTCTCTGGCTCTCTGGCTTGTCGCGTGTGTCCGTCGGAGGGAGTGATTAGTTTACAACGTAGTTTTAGTTTTGTTGCTCTCCCAAAATACAATGAGAACCATTACTCTCTGGCTCTCTGGCTTGTCGCGTGTGTCCGTCGGAGTGAGTGATTAGTTTACAGGCCTTTTGATCGTGGCCACTTTTCAACATGAGTGCGGGTGTGGGAGACGTTTCCATTGGCTCCGCGGCATCCGGCGACATGTCTGCACGGCGACATGTCTGCACGGCGTCATGACTGCGCGCTCTCCTCTCCTCCCCCGCATCGGGGTGGCATAGCCAGTTACTGGCAGATGTACACAAGGTCAAGGTGTTGTGTGTGTGTGTGTGTGTGGTGTGTGTGTGTGCGTGTGTGCGTGGGTGTTTTTCTTCTATGTGTGTTTGTTTGTGTGTGTGGTTGTGTGTGTGTGTGTGTGTGTGTGTGTGTGTGTGTGTGTGTGTGTGTGTGTGTGTGTGTGTGTGAGTGTGTGGTGTGTGTGTGGTGTGTGTGTGCGTGTGTGTCTTGTGTGTGTGTTTGTTTGTGTGTGTGTGGTTGTGTGTGGTTGTGTGTGGTTGTGTGTGGTTGTGTGTGTGTGTGCGTGTGTAAAAAAGACCAAAAATAGGGATTCACTGGCCAGAAAAAGTCACTTCAAATAGCTGTTTGGTGTAGACCAGGCTGAATAGTGACGGTCAATTCTTCAGCCTTGCAAGCTGTTGAATTGTGCAATCCCAGCACAAGTTGCTATGGCTTCTGCCGTAGCATTGCTATCATCGCCTCCGGCGATGGGTGTCAAAGGTCAAAGGTATGTGTGTGTGTGTGTGTGTGTGTGTGTGTGTGTGTGTGTGTGTGTGTGTGTGTGTGTGTGTGTGTGTGTGTGTGTGTGTGAGTGTGTGAGTGTGTGAGTGTGTGTGTGTATGTGTGTGTGTGTGTGTGTGTGTGTGTGTGTGTGTGTGTGTGTGTGTGTGTGTGTGTGTGTGTGTGTGTGTGTGTGTGTGTGTGTGTGTGTGTGTGTGTGTGAATGTGTGTGTGTGTGAATGTGTGTGTGTGTGAATGTGTGTGTGTGAATGTGTGTGTGTGTGTATGTGTGTGTGTGTGTGTGTGTGTGTGTGTGTGTGTGTGTGTGTGTGTGTGTGTGTGTGTGTGTGTGTGTGTGTGTGTGTGTGTGTGTGTGTGTGTGTGTGTGTGTGGAACGCGAGAGATAGTAGGGACCTTTCGCATTTGCTACGAATCGAATGCGAAACGAAAGTTTGATTCGGCTCGTAATCGTTTCGTTGAAAACAGATTCAGGTTTCGCAAGTCGTCATGCAAATGTGCATGGCAACTACGAATACGGCCGGTAGCTTGGCGTACGGGTGTTTACACGCACATGTTCATGGATCATGGAATCAAGAGAAAAATGCGTACCTGGCGAAACATGTGTACCTGGCCTAATAAATGTGTACCTGACGGATTCGGAGCACTTTTTACCAGGCGTGGGCCATCCCCTGGACTATCAAAATGGGTGCCTTATTATTTTTGTTTTTTCTTTTTCTCTCTGTTTATTCTTTTTGCCAGGCGTGGGCCATCCCTTGGACTATCAAAATGGGTGCCTTATTATTTTTCTGAGTGCAAAAACAGCACTGCACGAGCACGCCACGAGTGAAGAGGCTTCCATTCGTGAAAACCATCTCTGCGTAGGGACTCTGACGAATCCTCGAACCCAGGTTACGAATCAGCATTCGTTTCGTGCCCGTACATGGGGTGCGAAAGGTCCCTAATTTCACGCAGCAACCACTGGATAAACAGCTCACAGCCTCAGACTGAAAGCCCCAAGTCCAAATTGCTACCCACCTGAATGTGAAATGAATCTGACTACATGTACTGGTGGGAATGAGAGGAGACCATACATTTAGAGCTAAACTACGAACTGGCAGTGGCAAGGGGATTTGTTCACGTTCGAGAACAAACCATATGTACCTGATCTCAGCTGTTACAATCTCCAGACGGTCTGGACCTGTCAAGTACATGACTTGAAAACGCAGCATTTTCCGGGTGAAAGCTTAGCTCTGACGATGAGATGAGTATACTGAAATTAGTAGTGCGTGTACAAGTCCTTGATCCGAATGCTTCTCGCATGGTGTTGTGTTGTTGTTGAATATTATTTTAAAGTCGCAACACAAACAGGCGATGGCGCCTCCTTTTATACATGTGAGCGACATGACAAATTTTTAAGAGTAATTGTGATTGGGAGGGGAGGAGAAAAAGTCACTAGTGAACGAAGTCACCGAAGGTAACCGAATATGTTACAGATAGAGCTGCGGGAAAAAGAACCCTGTTGAAACATGTAGGTTTACAGTGGTTCAGCCCTACACCTGCCAAAAGAGGGACAGGGGTACTCAATCACCTTATAATGGTAATAAACAACGTTCTCATGAGCCCAAATGAAACATAAATTACATAATGGTCGATCACTTACTCGCATGTACCTGGTTGACACTGGCAAGCCCGATCATACCAAGTATGGCCACCTGAATCTGAAAGAGTGAAGAAGGGATGTACACAGTCGGAAATACAACAAAAAAACTTTGATTCATTGCAAAGCTAACTCAGAGTATGTGGCGAAAGACTTCTCCAAGTATTATACGCTATTCCAATTAACCATTACCTGCATTATGATCGGTCAGCCATCTGAAGAATAATTTACTCCAGGAGGAGGGGTTGCTGAGTCGGACAAGTTGGGAAATTAGAGTCCAGACTACCCCAGATCAGTGTATTTTGATTTGGTGTATTAAATATGTGGATTCACGGGGGTACGTACAACACGTTGAGTCACACGGGGTTGTAGGCTTGGACTAAAAGTGGTAAGGTCAATACGGTATTGACCGCACCTTGTCCGACGCCCCTGCTAGTAATAGCACCGTTGAAAAATGTACAGCTTGATGGATTCGCGGCCGCATCACCAGACGTGTCGAGGAACACATCAAGCAAAGACGCTCGCATCGGCGGGTCACCACTTCGCCCATAATATGATATCCTAGTGTGGAATGGTTGGTGGTGGTGGTTGTGTTTTTTGGAATTCGCAAACCGAACGGACTGGACATGTCCAATGACAAGGAAGCGAATGAAGTCCAAGTAACCCAGGAATGGGGACACAGATGAAAAGAAAATATGGGAACAGAAGGCTCTCAGCAAAGGAAGAAGAGAAAAGAAGGAAAGAAGAAGAATAAAGGAGAAAAAGAAGAAAAATCGTGGTCACGGCGAGAAGAAAGCTTTTAGCAAAAAGAGAAAGGAAAGGATAAAGGAGAAAATGGGGAGACACATCGTTGTCACGGCCAAAGCCGGAGTAGTGGCAGGACACAGTAGACATAACAACAACAGGAACAAGCACGAATGAAGCATGGGCCATGCCGGCCCAGATGCGGGAGACACCGACAGGAAGAGAGAAGGGAAGAGAAGAGAGAGAAATCGAAGCATTGCACGTCTACACCCACACATCCACACACCCACACATCCACACACCCACACATCCACACACCCACACATCCAAACATCCAAACATCCACACACACTGTACTGTATTGACAGCTACCCTAACGGGTCACGCCGCCCTCCACCCAAGCATGGGTATGATGAGGGGCAGTGGCAAAAAAAACAAAAAAAAACAGCAAGCAGAGAGAGATAGCAGGAGGAAGACAGCGATAGTAGTACATCTGGTGTGCGACGTATAGAAAAGAGAGATGACAAGAGATACGCACAAAAAGGAAACAATAATTACCGGTATTTGAACCTGTATTATCGCACTTCCGAAATAATCAACCAGGTGATGGAGTGTGGGCACCCGAAGTCCCACCTGGACTCCACTGGAAGAACATTCCACGCAGGGATATCAGCGATAGGACAAGCGTTGAAAACAGCCATGAGGACACATCGTCTAGAAGTCCACCACGCTCGAACTGAAATTGCAGGATCAAACAATTTCCCACTCGTCGTCAGGCAGCATAACTCTTCTCCCTGCAGCACCATCCATCTCCAGCAACCCTCTCCACTCACAGCTCATGCCTCTGCCACCACTGTACTCCGAGCTTCGCAGTTTGAAACCATTCGGGGGTCAGCCACACCACCGCGAATGGAGAGACGAGGACGACAACGGTCGTGACAGAAAAGACACTGCCCTGGCGACCGCGTCGCGGAACCCTCGCCCCAGCAAATTCAGAAACACGCCAGGGGCGACTCTGGTGGACCCAGAGCCACCCCGTGGCCTAAGACTAGTAAGAGGAACGACTGAAAACTCAGATAAAACGGAGCTACAAAAAGTGCAACCGTCCCTTTCAAGCACACACACACACACACACACACACACACACACATACATGTACATATCCACACCTACACACCCACGTACACACATACACAGACACATACTCCCCTCCCCCACACACACACATGCGCGCATACACACACACACACACACAAACAAACACACACACACACACACAAACACACACACACATGTACATTGACAGCCACACATACAATAATAATTGCTTTGCAATGTTCTCAGTTCATCGAAGAAACGGGACTGCTGCAGCACGGAACTGACGAGGAAAGGAGATGGAGCGAATACTGCTAGGCAGGTTGTTCCAGCATAGCGCACCGTGGAAGGCGAATGTCCCCTTTCCAGAGTTGCTGTGGGCGGGTGGCAGGCAGAGACCCATGCCGGAGTCCAGGCGCGTGGACCGGCCACAAGCTGGCAGCAAGAGAACCGAATCCAGACGTCGCAAGTGAGCCAGGGAAGAGGGGATGTGTCTCTAAACCACACGGCCCTGTAACAGACCTATAACCCCATCGACTGGCCAGTTAGCTTTAATTTGGCTGTTGTATTTGACTCGCAATTGTCCTGGAGTTCTCACGTAGATTTTGTATGCAACAAAGTTAGCAAATCTGTAGGTTGCCTGATGTCTCACTGCTCCCACTTGTCCCCCGAATGTATTCGTCTCTTTTATAAATGCTACCTTCTTCCTATCTTTCTGTATGGCGCCACTGCTTGGCATTCCCAGCTTAGTAAATCTGCTGTACAGGCACTAGAAATACATCATAAACGTATGTTGAAAATTATTTTTCGTAAACCCTCTCTATTCCCCACTACTGATCTATATAGTTTGGCCTCCACCAGCCCCATCTCTATCCTGTCGCAGAGACGGTCATGCGTTCTGGTCCATCGTATTTTAAACTGAACTTTGTCCCCGAACATCTCAGCAAGTGTAATTGGTTTACTTTCGCACGGGACACTCGCAATGGCATAGTACTTCCCAGAGCTTTGTCAACTATGTTTACCAAATCTCCTATCTTTTCTGCATATTCGTATTGGCTCATGCTGCCTATGGAAATGAAGATAATATACAATATTAGACAGTTCATAGACCATGTTGCAGCAGGCATAGTGGGATGGTCTAAGACCATGATTGAGAAACAGAGGGTACCAGGTTCAAGTCCTGCTTGGAAGCGGAAGGAATTTTTCCAGCCGTGCTGCGACCCACAGTTAATTGGGAACTCGTGGCCTGGCACGAGGGTAACATGGATGCAGCTAATGGGATTTCGGTCTTTGACCACTTGGTGGTGGGCCTGATCTACTCACCTCCCACCGTTTAGGCGCTGCATCTGCGCCTTGATCCTATAGGCTGGTGGCGTTCCCACGGCGGATGCGGAAAACTCGGCTACCAGCCGAGTCTCACGCGAACCGTGAAAAATTAATTAATTTAATTAAGACCATGTTAAATGTCATGCCACGTTTTAGGCTCGCTCGCCTCTTTTGCTAGTTTATCTCGCCGCTCTCCACTATGGTCAACATAGTGATATTCCAACCCGCTGATGCATTCTTTTCTTCCGATTATCATATTCTTTCCTTCTTTCTTTCTTTTTCTTCTCTTGCCATGGCTGCCTTAGGGCCTGGTCAGACTGCGGCAAAATCGAAATAATCCTAGGATTATAATCCGAATCTCCATAGTAACTTGCCGCCAGAGCGGCAAAAGCGAGAGTTGACGCTCCAAAAAAAAGCAAGAACGGAACACGCTTTTCCGCTCCAAACAGGATTTGACGCTGATACGCCATTGACGCTGATAATCACTGATTTTTTCATCTCGATATCGAGGAGCTAATTGGCCACGGACAACAAAACTCATAAGGATGGTTGCAAGGATTGCACTGAAGGTGTTGGCGATCCCCAAGGTGAAGGAATTTGACGTCGTTCGTGGAGATTACCACTTGACGCTCGAAATGAAGTTTGAATTTTCACTCTCCCCACATGTGTAGTGTGATCGCGATTCAATTTCTCGACGCTGTTCTTTTTTCGTCAGGCAACCAAAATTTGCCGCAGTCTGACCAGGCCCTAACGCCCCCTCCTTTGCATTGGCTTCTGCCATTGGACGGTGAAATAAACTAAAATAAATAATATTTTTTTAGAAAGGAAAAGGACATACCTATGGCCATATGGGTACGAGTTAAGAGTAACTCTCCATCACTGTAACTGGATACTATATACAGTCAGAAAATGCAATAACTTCATTGTAGGCACAAAACTGAGAGAGTGCTGAGACACTCGACGTCCTGACACCGAGCTTCAACACATCTCCGTAGCGCTAACCGACAGCCTTCCAGCTTGGAAGGTTCAAGGTTATGGAAAGACCAAAGAGGGGAAGGCTTTACTTATCTTTGATATTTATGACCCACCCAAATTGGGTGGTGTGCTGCTTTGCTGCTTCGAATTGTAGTTAGACCGCTTTGTCAAAATTTGACAAAGCGGTCTAACTACAATTCGAAGCAGAGCCAGCGCACGCGAAAAGGGTGCCGCCACTGCTTAGGGCCTGGTCGAACATAGGCAAAAAAAGCATAGGGATGTTATAAATTTTTCAATTCTCCTTTTTTCTGGGAATAAACTGGGATTCGAACCCGCACTATCGCCCTACATGCATTCCCTCATACACTTCGCATTCATACTCATTCTTCCAAGTTGCTTCACGTTATGATCTTGCGTTTGAAAGCCCTATTTGAATATTGCGGCCAGCTGCATGTGGCCAGCTAGCTGTGTTTGATGGTACGGTACGGGACAGATACGGGATAGCGCCAGGCGTGACACAAACAAACAAACAAACACCAAATTCAAGCTGTGTGGACCCTGGCTAGGCTAGCGCCAGACGTTACTGAAGTAACGTCTTCTGCATAAAAAATAAATAATACCCCATGCAATGTACGCAGTCAAACTGCTTCTCAACAACAGACTGAACGAACAGCTTCACAACAACGTGTTACTATCCAAATGCATAACTTCGCAAAAATGGCATTTTTGGAAGTCCCATAATTCCTGGTAAAGAAAAAAGGACCAGGAAACTACAAGCTACGCTATAATGTCCACTAAGACATGAGCTAATTGTTTAGTATCTGGTTGTGTAAGTGGACATCATAGCGTAACTTGTAGTTTATTGGTCCTTTTTTCTTTACTTTTTTATTATTTTAAACCCGTCATGTGTGAGCCATGAATAAGGGGAGTGGTGGCGTGGTCTGGGATGCTCTGCCGACCTTGGGTCTCGGCTTCATCAGAGAGAGAGAGAGAGAGAGAGAGAGAGAGAGAGAGAGAGAGAGAGAGAGAGAGAGAGAGAGAGAGAGAGAGAGAGAGAGAGAGAGAGAGAGAGAGAGAGAGAGAGAGAGAGAGAGAGAGAGAGAGAGAGAGAGAGAGAGAGAGAGAGAGAGAGAGAGAGAGAGAGAGAGAGAGAGAGAGAGAGAGAGAGAGAGAGAGAGAGAGAGAGAGAGAGAGAGAGAGAGAGAGAGAGAGAGAGAGAGAGAGAGAAAGAAAGAGAGAGAGAGAAAGTTATAAATTTACCCTTGGCTCTCCATTCTCCCATGCTCCTCTACTGTATGTATGTATGTATGTATGTATGTATGTATGTATGTATGTATGTATGTATGTATGTATGGGGTCATTTTTAGTATTTCATTTATACACACCCTACAGAAGACATTGACGTCTTTGTATGAAGAACATTTCGGGCTATTATTTCGATTTATCACTTCCAGCTACCCTAAAGAAAAGGCCATTAAGAGAACATGTCTGAGAAAGCCAGAACATTTGTGCAAGGAGATCTCTCCAATTTCAGTCACATTTTGCAGGTAAGTTTCCTTTGGGATGTAGATCGACTGTGCAAAGCCCGCGCAAAAGGTTCTGAAAGGAACCTTGAAATTGGCATACCCCAAAAATGGTCGAAAAATCACATGATTTATGGGGCTACAAACGACCCCTCTTACGTGTGTGGACGGTGCTTGTGCTCCCTACTATATCAGGGTCTACAGGCATCCGAAGCACTGATTGTATCTGTATTATTTTGTACTCAATGTATGCAACACTATTATCTCCACATCACCATGTTTTTATTTTTGTTCATGTTTTTCACTCCATTGTCGTGAGTTTCCCTTGGGAACGGATACGAGAATAATAATAATAATTAAAAAGCTTACGTGGAGATAAAAATGTAATTAACGCAATACATAGAGTAAGCAAGCTGCGCACTCAGTACAAACACCATTAGCAAAACTTGTTTTCATGTAAAATTTAATATAGAAGCTTGTTCCTAAACGTTTTCGTCGCCATCTCATCAGAGGATTAGGATTACTGGCAAATCAACATTAGTTCTAAACTCAATACGCACAATGCAAGTAATAAGTAAAGTAATATGTAATAATAAGTAATATTTGGAAAGGAGTGGGAGAACTTCAAATTCAAAGGATCAGTCGGGGAAGTGACCTGCCTTTTCAGGCAGTTCACTTCCCCGACTGATCCTTTAATAAGTAATAATAAGTAATACGTAATACTCACAGCACGTGCCACACATACTGATGGCACTTGGGTCTTTTTCCCTCCCCCAGGGAACCAACCACGGTCAGTTTCTGGAAACTACCAGAGGTGAAAGAAAGTGATTAAATTTGGAAAGGATTGGGAGAACTTCAAATTCAAAGGATCAGTCGGGGAAGTGAAAAACTTGTCAGCGCCTTCTAGGTTCAGCCTGGTCCCATAGCTCAGTGGTTAGAGCATTGCTCATGACAAGCAGGGTCCCAGGTTCGAGTCCTGGTGGGTCTGGCGTTTTTTCACTCCAAAGGCAGCTCACAACACGTGCCACACATACTGATGGCACTTGGGTCTTTTTCCCTCCCCCAGGGGACCAACCACGGTCAGTTTCTGGAAACTACCAGATCACTTTCTTTCACCTCTGGTAGTTTCCAGAAATAAACATTTTTTTTCATTTTTCCACTCGACCATGCTGAAATACATGTACCGGTACGTCCAAACTCATCCCTGCGCAGGAAAACTCGCCCCTCCGCGACGTCTAGACAGCAATTTCTACTCCAACACCACTCCCAACGCTGCAGAACAAAGTGCATTGTTGACTTTGACAAGGAAAAACAGCGGTGATTACTTGTTACTGCAAATGACAGGCTTCTTCTTTCGCAAAACCAACATTTTTCCGTGCAAGAGTTGATGCAAAACTGAAGAACCTACTCAGGATGTATTTCTGTTGCGAAAAAACGCAGCAACGAGTTTCGTGTCACCTGTCAGAAATGGGATGAGCAACCCGAAAATAACTTATAACTAGCGTTCCGGGTGTAAGCGGCCGTCGTGGCTTCCTTTCGGGAACGGACACGATGAGAGAAGAGATGAAAAGAGAAGAAGTGTTTCTACCCTTCTAGCTGTAGTCAGCTTGTGGATTTAATGATGTAGAATAGCTGAGTTACGACGAACCCAAACTGACCCTTTTCTCATTTGAAACGCTCCCCACTTTGTGCATCCAGCACTTTGCCGGCAATTTGCCAAAACTCGCTCCTTTGTATAAACTTGCTCCTTTGTATAATTGTACTGAAGTACGTGGATGACACATTAGCTATATACTATGTTTTGTCCTTTTCGGAGGAAGTTTTCCTCGTTTCTTTTTGTTCTTTGTTTTTGTAGGGGGGCGCAGCGCCCCCCTACTCCGTTTCTGCGCCCCCCTGTGAAAAAGTGCCGCCCCCCCCTACTCATTTTCCGATTTTTGTGTTTTTTCACGCCATTCAACGAAAATACAGTCGATAGTCACTACTAGAGGGTTCATAAAGGCACATTTGTGAGGGGTGAAGTCGGCATTCACTCTGTATGTTACATTTTGCATGGCAAGACAATTTTTGGACAATGGAAAAAATGGGTCATGGGGTAACTTTTTCCCATGCCCGCCCCCCCCCCCCTACTATATTGACCTCTCTAGAACCCTGTTCTCCACCTGTTTTCCAGTAGTGCTGTGTCAATAGTAAAAAAAAAACACTAAAAAAAACTGTATATTTTGAAAAGCACGGCTGTACACTTACCAAACTAGACCATGCCATTGCAGCTGCACCAGGTAGTACCAGGACAGATTCAGCTATGGATGTTTGCTGGGGCTCCTGTCAATTGTACTGCTCAAGCCTAGGGACAACACACATGTGGGAGGTGGAGACAGATTCTGGAGAGATATTAATTTTATCTAGTAACGTTCGGGAATGAATCCATACATCCTGTACACACATCCTGATGATGGGCCTTGCCCGAAAATTTGAGCTAATGTATATCAATTGCAGTGTAGCCTAGAGACCGTTAGAGAGAGTGTGTACAAGGTGTGTGTACAGGATGTATGGACGTTCGGGAATGGTTTGGAAAAATAATTTTTCATTGCTATCAGGTTCGGACTCATTTTCTCTGAGCTTCTCATAATTTTCCATTGGAAGCCTCAACAGTGAACACAACCGATCCGATAACAGGGTTGAGGGGTGGGTTGAGAAAAATAATAATGCTAAAGTCAAGATATGTGAGGAATTAGTTGGATAAAGGTGCTGCGCTGATGAGTTCACAAAGGACAAACAGTTCTGCCTGCAGTTTGAGCAGTTATTCATCTAGATATGCGGTGGTCTTACCGCTTTGTTGTGGAGACGAGTATCTTGCCACGCTTCAGGGAGGATTAGAATACGGCGATCTGATCTGGTCGTCCGCGTGGAAACTCGCACCGAGAGTAGCAGCAGCACAGCGTCTTGTTGAGTCACAATCCGATGTGAGGCAGGTCCGGGTATGGGGATTTCAGTTGTCCTCTTCCCCTGATTATTAGTAGGGCTGTGTTTTCTAGTATATAACAAAATAGATCGTCTACCACGACCAACGGGTAGTACCTCTTGTACGGGAAAAATAATTCTACATGTACATTTCTGTAGTACTTAAATTACCACCTCCGTACCGTCGCAATCAGAGCAGTGTGGGGGGGGGGGGGGCAAGCTCAGCAGGTAAGAACAATGCATATGTGAATCAACAGCATCAGTAAAACAAAGAAACAAAGAAAGAGTCTGTTCAGATTCTTTCTTTGTTTTACTGATGCTGATGATTCACATATGCATTGTTCTTATCTGCTGAGCTTGCCCCCCCCCCCCCCCCCCCCACTGCTCTGATTGCGACGGTACGGAGGTGGTAATTTAATGTAGAATTATTTTTCCCGTACAAGAGGTATTACCCGTTGGTCGTGGTAGACGATCTATTTTTACATGTAGTATTATCACCTTTTTTGTTTCGCTCTTTTTCGCCTTCTATCACTTTTATTTGTCCATATAAGATTAGTTCAAGTAGTTCCCATTCCATTGTAACGTAGATTCACTGATGATTGTAACAAGAACACAGTTCTGAACGAATCCTCGCTTTCCCTTCCTTGTGTGCCTTGCGATAATCGTACAACATTTTACACATACCGTAAAATCCCGCCAGAGCGCCCCTACCTCCTCGACGCTTCAGGTGTGGAGGGGCGGATGGGCGAGTCTACTTGCCGCATTCAGTGCTACCAAGAGTACATTATAGCAATAAAAACTGCTTTATGGCAGTTTTCTAAAAAAGGTTATTGTGTTCTAGTCCATGGACCCCGTCTAAAAAGTAAGAAATTACCGAAATGTGATAGCTGAAAATTAAAATTTCACACAAAACCTCACAATAATCACAACACTTGAAATGCTGCTTTCAACTTTAACTTGTACTGCACCAACAATTGGCAACATGCATGCATAGGAGAAAGGATCACGAGGGGAAAAGGTCTTCTACATGTAGCTTTTAATTCTGTGTGTGATTATTGTGAGGTTTTGTGTGAAATTTTAATTTTCAGCTATCACATTTCGGTAATTTCTTACTTTTTAGACGGGGTCCATGGACTAGAACACAATAACCTTTTTTAGAAAACTGCCATAAAGCAGTTTTTATTGCTATAATTTCTTTTGTTTTTTCTGTCACCAATCAATGGAATGCCCTACATCAAGAGTATATGTACTCTTGCCTACATGTATATCAATATGTAAATGATGGCCTTCACATCATATCAAGAGGTTTTTGTACTCTTGATCATATCAATACCGTATTATACACATTGATATGCAAGCCTTTTCTTGCAGAAAATGGCATTAGCATAATGCATGCTCTGTGGGGGAACATGTGAGTAGTGGTGGTTATACTTTTTTAGACGCAGGTCATTCTGTGCATGTTGCTGTTGCAGAATTTCATGACTCTGTCATAAATTTGTCTTGCCTTTCAGATATTTCAGATTTCCCCACCCTCTATCAGATTTATTTGAGAAATGTAGCCATGCGCCAGGTGCGTGTCGCAGATGTTTTGTTGATTCTGTGTTTATAATGGTTTATAATCATGGGTTATCGTGATAAGGTCATCCAGCATCATATTGCACTGAAATCGTTATCCTGTTGATGTCAATACAACTTTTGGAAGTAGTTCAATGACTTCAAACTGTTAGTCCCCGATTTTCTGAAACAACACAGCAAAGGAGGAACAATAAACATGTATTAAAATGTAAACAAATACATTGTTGAGTCCGACACCTCGTTCCAACAACTACACTGATCCTGAGGATAAAAGGGTCAAGGGTTGGAGGTACTGATACTGAGAGATAAACAAGGCACTCCATGATAATAAAAGCTTACACATCTTTTGGTGAGTATGAATGATATCCAGTTGAACCTCTTTAGGACGAACACCAAGGGACCAATGGTATTTATGCTGTGAGTTTGTCTTAACCTATTTTATAACCAGTGAATAAAATTATTTCTCCAATAGACACACGAATAGATTTCTTCTACGGCGAAAGATTCTAAGCCACACCGACTCATTGACTCGTCTCGTATGAAACAAAAGAGTCACTAGAGAGGTTCTGCAAAACGAAAATGCGTACAAACTTTCGCTCTACATCATGAAGTGCGAAACTTCGCACGAACTTTCGCAACTGTGGAAGCGACACTTGCAGGGAACGCGAAATGAACTGTCGTAGGAAATTTCGTGAGATCGGGTCATGGCGTACGTGCACTTGGCCCGCACAAACTATGAAAATGTGCAGAACGCAAAGTTCGTGCAAAAATTCGTACACACTTTCGCAAGGACTGTGGCGAGACTTCGTTCGAATTTTCGTTTTGCAGAACCTCTCTACTGAACCTTTCTTTAGCAACATGACGGCAACTGAAACAGCAACATAGAAAGTACGATACATGTACTGCAAATTCTTGCAAGTACTACAGGTACTACAAACAGATTGCAGATCGTAATTCTTGCTTTGGCGGCACGAAACTTTATTTGGGGCAGTGCAATCTCGGCGGTACTCACAAATCAAACAGCCCAGACTCGAGTAAACAAATCCAATCCTACAAGTGCGAGATTTTCATGAGACGAGACTGCACCCATTGGCTTGTTTCGTATGAAGCAAACAAGTTACTGAACCTCTCCACAATGGAGATTTTCCCTGATATGCGAATTTATTTGGCAAACTCGGTCAATGAGTCCTTGAACCTTTCCCTCCAGATTGGGAAATGCCAACGATAGTATGCCACTGACCAGTGCCTTACTTTTAACGTACTAATGTGCAATGAATATGAGTATTTCGACAACACATCTAACATAAGCCTTACCGTCAAGAAGGTGAACTCGCGTTCTTCGCACACTGTAGGCAAGGGCAAAGAGATGAAAATCGATCTAAATCCGAATAAAATCAGCACACGTTTCCGTAAATGAAAGGGTGAGCATAAGCAAATGAATCGAAGGAAACTGGTCAACTCAGAGATCACCTGTCATTGAGTATTCCGTAAAAGGAGGCCTCGGCAGCGGAAAAGCTAAATTTAGAAAGGAGATCCTGTCAGCTTTTCCATTATTTATTGCATTCCGCCCAAAATCAGCACACTTTTCGTAAATGAAAAAGTCAACACAAGCAAATGAATCAAAGGGAACTGGTCAACTCACCTGTCATTGAGTAATATTCCGCGAAAGGAGGTCTCAGCAGCGCCGAAACGAAATAAGTCAGGCAAGGAGACGAAATATCCGAAACAGCTCATGCAAGAAGCAGTTCCAAAGAAGGAAGTTCCTCGTGCATGCACATCCGAAAAGGCAACAACAAAAAGTCTACAATGCACACGCATGCGGCCAGCCGGCCGCGCGATGGTACGAGGAGCCATGGAGTAGCTCCCTGGTCCAGGACCAGGTACCGAGCATCTTACGTAGAAACTTACGTAGCTACGTAGACAACGTGTCTGAATAGCGGTGTCGTTAGGTAGCGCCATGTGAACACAATACAGTCAGACCTCGCTTATCCGGTCCTCTTTTATCCGGATCCCTCGCCATCCGGAAGAAAATAGCTGGTTACAGATTTACAGCATCCATGGTGCATCCAACATAACCAGTGTTCGGTTATCCGGTTCCCTCGCCTATCCGGATATTTTTGTGGAAAACAGATGTGTGCGGTTATGCGAGGTCTGACTGTAATAGAAAAGCTGACAGGATCGCTTTTCGAAATAACCCCACGTGGGGGTTATGTACTCTTGGTGCTACCAAGAGTACATTATAGCAATAAAAACTGCTTTATGGCAGTTTTCTAAAAAAAGTTATTGTGTCCATGGACCCCGTCTAAAAAGTAAGAAATTAACGAAATGTGATAGCCGAAAATTAAAATTTCACACAAAACCTCACAATAATCACACACAGGATGAAAAGTGAGAAGACCTTTTCCCCTCGTGGTCCTCTTTCCTATTCATGCATGTTGGCGCAGTACTCGTACAAGTCACCCATGAAGTGTCAGACCAAGATGGACTCTTGGTCAGACTAAACAAGTGTTGAAAGCAGTATTTTTTTTTAACTAAGATCCTCAAGTGTTGTGATTATTGTGAGGTTTTGTGTGAAATTTTAATTTTCGGCTATCACATTTCGTTAATTTCTTACTTTTTAGCAGGGAGTAGTACAATACTGTATTGTACTACTCCCTGCTTTTTAGACGGGGTCCATGGACACAATAACTTTTTTTAGAAAACTGCCATAAAGCAGTTTTTAGGGTACCCTGTAAAAAGGCCTTAAGCGGGATTCACAGAAGCTTTTTTGCGATGCGACACGCGATGCGACAGACGCGAAACCGGGAAAACCCCAAATCGCAGCCATGTCGCACCCCACGCAACTGCCGCAACTGGGCCATCGCAGGCCATCGCAGAAGTTGAGCTTGGCTCAACTTTTGCGATGCGATGCGATGCGACAAGCGATTTGGTGTACGATTTTGACCTTTTCTACAGCAAAGTTGTACAAAGGTGCAAGAGTTGCCTATAAATTTTTACAAGTTGTGTCAAACCGCGCGAATATCATGGTGACGTACCCAAATCAGCAAAACTTTGTCGCATCGCTGACTTCTTCTGTGAATGGTATTTCGCGAGTTCGCATCGCACGCATCCATCGCAGATCGCGTCGCATCGCGTGTCGCATCGCAAAAAAGCTTCTGTGAATCCCGCTTTAGGCCTGTGGGGATTGCCCTATTCAAAATTTAAATAATAATAATAATAATAATAATTTGAAACTCGGATGTTGAGCCATAAATAAATGTGGAAGAGAAAAGGACATATGGATACGAGTTAAGAGTAACTCTCCATCATCTTAACTCGTATCCATATGTCCTTTTCTCTTCCACATTTATTTATGGCTCAACATCCGAGTTTCAAATTGCACACCTGATGAGCCGTCACGAACCATACGGCGAAACGTACGTCGTGTGAAACAAC